TAATTGTTACAAGGTAAGACTTTAGGTCAGTAAGTGTTGTTGTTGACTAACGTTAGTTAACGTAGTGTGCAAAGTAATCAGCGACAGCAAACCGTTTGCTTTCATCATCTGTCACATGACATGTCAGCGCCTTAAATGATGCCGTTTAAAATAAATAAATAATAAAGGCGGGTGCCGGCCGTCAGCGAACCGAGCCAGAACACGCTCTGGGTGGAATCTCCATCCACCGGTTTTACCCAATAATGAGTACCTTCCCAGGCTTTGTTGTAGCTGCATTTTCTTTGTCCCAGGCTCCATTTTACACCACCATCCCGCCATTTCGTTCTATTTTAAGCGGGACACCTGGTCACCCTAGCTATATAGTTGTGAAATATATCTAGCGGTTATACATTTATATTCTGCGTTGCTGAATTGTTGTCCTCCTCCTTTGTGTTTGCTCTATAGTTTCAAAATGTAGCGAAAAAAGGACATTATGTCCTTTTTCGCCCCCCAAAAAAAATAATGATGAGGCAGACAGTAACACACAGCAGGAAGTGCAGATTGCCACAGAGATAGCCGGAGGACTTTTCAGGAGAGACTGATCTGGAAATGGAAGGTTCAGAGCAGGCAGAGAAAGATGGGGAGTCACAGAGTGAGGCTGAGGATGACATCGAGAGTGAGATAGAGGATAGATCCACAAGTACTGGAACATCAGGTTTGTGATTTTGAAAAACAAATGTGCCTGCTTTAATCTTAGTTACAGATCAAATGAGTGTGTGTGATACTAATTCATTTTTTTTAACATTTATATTTTATTAAACATTTTCAAAGACAAAAATATACGGAGGACATGGCTCACACACATCACAAATAGGACAGGACAATAACATGAAGGGTGGCGGGCAGGGGGATTACAGTGTCAGTTACATTTTATGTATTCATATGGAGTTGGATTTATACATGATTTACTTCATAATATAGATACTTCTTTTTTCCCTCTTTTTTTATTATAAAACAAAAAAAAAGTGTAATAAATAGATACATATATAAATATATATGCACATTATTACAATTATTTTTCTGTTTCTTCATAGCTTATTTATATTTATTTATTAATATTATTATATTTATTGTTGGCAGCCGAGATTGTTTGAGTCCGGGCAAGCCCTTATCTTATCCTAAAGTCTGTTGTCTGGCTTAACCAAATATAACAGGGAGAAAGCAGCTTCTTGTCATAAATCTATTAATATAGATATCTAATTTGTGGTTGTTCATTGCTCTGGTAAATGTGCATTTATAATGATCGGTTTCAATTATAATAATAATAACAATAACATATTTATTTGCGTTATCTTTCTCCACAGATATCAGCAAGTGCAAAGAGGAGCCACCAATGCAACCACACCCTAAATTGTTTCCAAGGACCTGGATGGGCGACCGGAGAAGGAGTTTCAAGGCTGACTGGTACAAGATTCACCCCTGGCTTGAGTACTCCAAAATGTCAGACTCTGCTCATTGTTACGCCTGCAGACATTTTAGCCCTCCGAATAGCACAGACACTGTATTTGATTCACTTTCAGGTTTCAAAAACTGGAAGAAGGCAACATACAAAGAGGGGGGATTTGCAATCCATGCCAAATCTGAGCACGCAATGATTGCATGGAAAGACTACCAGAGAGCTGTGACATCCAATGCAACATTGGCAAATGTACTTAACAAAGAACTAAGAAACTGGTTCAAGAAAATCGGGAATATATAAAAACCATAGCCGAAGTGCTGCTACTTACTGCGACACAAAACATTGCTCAAAGAGGACACAATGAGTCTGCAGGCTCAGATAATAAAGGGAACTTCATGACCATTCTAGAGACAATTGCTAACCATGACAAAGCTGTTAAAAAAAGGTTGACTTCCATTCATAATGAAAAGTACACAAGCAAAACCATTCAGAATTAAGTTCTGGGTTGTCTTGCAGACATGGTTCGATCTGAAATAACAGAGGAAGTGAAAAACAGTGAAGTCTTTAGCATCATGGCAGATGAAACAAAAGATGTTAAAACATTTTTTACAGATTTCTCTTGTAGTCAGGTACTACTTCAATGGTGCTATCCAGGAGAGTTTTCTCCATTTTGAGTCAGCAGAGAGGCTAGATGCAGCAGGGCTTACTGAAAAAATAATTCACATATTGGAAAGTAACGGTCTGGAATACAAAAACAACCTTGTAGGCCAAGCATATGATGGTGCTGCTGTCATGAGCGGTAAGCACTCAGGGGTCCAGGCTAGAATCAGAGAGCAAGCTAAATATGCTTTTTATGTTTATTGCAATGCTCACTGTCTAAATCTAGTTTTAGTAGATACAGTCAAAGCTGTCCCAGAAGCAGAGCAGTTCTTCTCCTTACTAGAAAAGCTATAAGTCTTCACATCTGGGTCGTATGTCCACCCCAAATGGCTAGATATCCAAAGAGAGATGTACGAAGGTGCCCCAAGAGAACTCCAGCGATTGAGTGACACTAGATGGGCATGCAGATGTATATCTCTCCGTAACATAATGGATAGATTACCGGCCCTCAAGCGAGTACTGCAAGACATAGCCCAAGAACGCAATGGTGAGTGATCTATTGAGGCACGTGGTCTGCTGGCACAGTTGGATCTAGAATTCATTGTGCATCTTGTAACACTCCGTAAAGTGTTTGCAGAAACAACATTTCTCTCTGACATGTTACAGTCTTCATCCCTTGACCTTTCAAAGGCTGTGGATTTAGTTGGATCTTTGGTTCAGACATTGAATGACTTCAGGCAGGAGTCATTTTTTGATAACTTGTGGGATGAAGTGTTGAACATTTCTGAGCAATGTGATACTGCAATACAGCCAGCAGCAAAACGACTGAGCTCTAAACTTGCTGAAAGCTTGGTACTGACTACTGTTGGACAGAGAGAGACAGAACAAGATAAACACGGGTTTCGTACAGCCTTTTTCTACCCTGTCATTGATCAGATGCTCAATGAGCTTAATAGACGGTTTTCAAACACAAACTGTGACATGATGAATAGCATCCAAGCTCTTAACCCCCTAAAGTGATGCATTTCTGAAGGAGACAACTCCGTTTCATTTGCTCAGTTGTATGATGCAAATATTGAGGACTTGGGGCATGAGCTACATCAGTTCAACAGAATTTTAGATAGGAAAATAAAGACTGGGATGCAGAGACCTAATAGTACAGTGGAGCTTGTTCAGTTCATTGAACCTTATAAAGAAGTGTTTTTTGAGCTCTTCAGACTCTGCAAAATAGCAGTCACAATCCCAGTCAGTTCTGCTTCCTGTGAGAGTAGTTTTTCTACATTGAAGCTGGTCAAAATTTTTCTCAGATCCACCATCACTGATGAGAGACTGAGCAATCTGGGTCTGCTTAGTATTGAGTCAAGGAGGTCAAAGGCTTTGAATCTTGACTTATTTGTTGATCGGTTTGCCAAAAATCACAAAAACCGCAGGATTATGTTGCTGTAATGGGACGTTTTGGGAAGGAAACTATGCGTGTTTTCCAGATATCACTGTTTTATGTTTATTAGAAATGTGACGGAATAGACGAAACTGATTGGTGCGCGTGCAAAACAGGTGTGTTCAGTCTTCATGTTTGTTAAATAGCCTACGTGTCTGTGCTTATGGGAAATAATACATCTGAAATCTATGTTTTCATCTATATCCATGTATTTTATTTAAAGTCAACATTTAAGATTTGTAAACTTTTGCATTAAATCCTTTTCTGTGGATTTAAAAATGTATAAATGTAATGCTGAAGCTAACAGTATAAGATCTGTCTGAAATAAATAAGTGTACTGAAACAAATACCAATAACTGTATTGCATTGTTTTCTTATGCGCAATTACTTCGTACTGTCTAGTTCTCTTTTTCGTCCTGCATTTATTGTGCCCCCCTCAGAAAATAACTGACCCCCCAGTGGCCCCCCCACTCAAATTGGTCTAGAACCGCCCCTGGCAGAGAGGAACCTTCTGACAGCACAGGGATGCCCCGGGACAGAAACAAACACACCTCCAGCTGCAGAGAGGAACCTTCTGACAGCACAGGGACGCCCCGGGACAGAAGCAAAGAAACCTCCAGCTGCAGAGAGGAACCTTCTGACAGCACAGGGACGCCCCGGGACAGAAAGAAACACACCTCCAGCTGCAGAGAGGAACCTTCTGACAGCACAGGGACGCCCCGGGACAGAAACAAACACACCTCCAGCTGCAGAGGGGTATCTGATGTAGCGTCTACTAATTTAAATAATGATTCACTGACAGATTAACATAAAATCATAACACAGAATATAGATGTCTGAAATGGGTTGGTACTACCTTTATTTTGGCATATTTCAAAAATGTAACTTATAATTATTCATAAGAACAAAGAGCAAACATGTTTAAATAAATAAAAATACTTCCAGTGGACTGAGGAGGAAGGGTGATCCTTTATGTTATTATAAAATGTGTTTATTTGGCATATAATACTATAATAACTGATATTAAATACATTAATAATTATACATAAGCACTGGATGGAAATCAACGGCAAAAATAGGTAATTAAAGAAATCATTTCAAGCAGACTTCCACATGTCTTGGTACTTCCTGTTTAAATGTAATTGCTATTACTTTGCATAGCCTCGCCAGCTTTATCAAAGTTTACTGACAAAATAAACAGTTGTTAAGCTTTTAAATTAACTGTTAAGCTGTCACAGTTGTTTGGAGCTGCTGCCGGGTCTGCTTAAAAAAACACAACAACAATCTTTCTTATAATTCCCCTCACTGCCTGAACGTAGACACAGGTCCGCACTGTCTGACCACAGGGGGTTAAACAATAGCTAACGTTTATTAGCTAAACAGCAATAAGTGGTGGTGCACCAGGAGCTACAGGGCGGGCCGCCAACAGCAATGTAAGATAGTGTGGGTGTTTCGGGTCGGAGCCGGATCCCAGCTGAACAGCTTGTGGGACACAGCAGGAAGAAGTTTTAACACAGCGAGTCCTTCCTTTTCAAAAAGAGTTCACTTTATTAACAACGATTCTTCAAAAGCATCAGGATGAAATGTAACTCACATTAGCTAGTGATATCAACTAAACGATAAGAGATCAGCCGTTGCTTTTTCTTGTTCAAAGGGAGATTCACTTTGGTTTTTATGTCTATGTTTTTGGTCACAAACTGAGAAACCAAATGGCTTCTCCCATGTGAATTCTCACGTCTCTTCAGACTGTCTTTCAGGCGTAATATTTGCCCACACTCATACACCCATGGGTACAACTTCAGATACAAATGAACACATAATGAAATATGACCCCCGGTTTGATGATTGACAGGTCACAGTACAATGGGAGCTATCTACCCTTACCCACAATTTAAAGTAATTCACACAGACCATCTCCTCTTTACTCTTCTCTCTGTGAGGAGCAGCAAGTTCAGCTTCAGAACAAAGTGAAACACAAACAATGGCATCAAATATTATTAATATGTCGGGTAGTAGCCTAATAGATTTATTTATTTTCTTCTCAGAGTGTACCAGAATGCAGAGCCGTCCCTCCCTACACTCAGATCACGTGGGGCCCTCAACTGAGCGCACCGTTATGCGGCTCAATTAGTGAAAGCGCGGCACAGTTTTGCCGCTGCGACACGGAGGGCCTCATCATATGACTTTGCGTGGGGCCACAAAATGGCCAGGGATGGCCCTGCCAGAATGCGTAGTTTATATGTTAGCATTTCAAAAAAATCTCCTGGGAGAAAATCCCCCCAGACCCCCCTACTGGGGTTGGGTTTTTAGCATGTGTGCCTTTTTATGTTATACAGTTCAGCTTTGATTCCATCATCTCATTAAACCTTTTTTAAAAGCATACTTTAGTTCTGTGAAGGGATATAAGGGATATATGCACTGTACTTCACTTTAATTGATTTTGTCTGCTGAAAAGCAAATGTCGGGTCGCGATTGATTGACAAAGGAAAAAGGTGCGTCCCGAGGCCTGACCAGTTGAGAACCACTGGTTTAGAGTGTTTAACCGGAATAACAGATCTTTCCAATCACCACTGATTTCAGGGTCAGGAGAAGCTAAAGTCATGTTCTTGGCTGGCTTTGGTTCTTTGTCAGTGTTGCCATAAGTGTTGGTTACTTTGGTGTCATTAGAGCACAATGGACTTGTTTCTGTGCTTAATATTTGTTTTAATACACATTCAGACTTCACTTAGAGCAATGATGTTTTAACACATTTCGAGCAGGTATCGCGTTATACACATTTACTGGGACTAACTCAAAGAGTTTGAACCTAACAATAATCACTGTCTTCAGGGTCAGGTTCTGAAGAGTCTCTAGGGTTGTCCTCAGTATCTGGTTGTAAATGTCTCTCTGGATCTGAGTTCCTGGCTGGTTCTAGTCCTCCACAGTCCTCTCCATCAGCTTATGTTTCCATGTGTTCAGCTGAGCTGCTGGCTGGAGGCTCTGCCTCTCCGTTCTCCTCAGTTTGAGTTTGATGAAGCTGTGAGGACTGACGACCAACACACTTATGGATTTTGACCAGATATCTCCGGGTGAATCTTTTTTCACAAACACTGCAGCTGAATGGTTTCTCTCCTGTGTGGATTCTCATGTGGTATTTTAAATGTCCTCTCTGTCCAAAAGATGTCTTACAAATAGAGCAGCTGAATGGTTCCTCTCCTGTGTGGATTCTCATGTGGTACTTTAAATGTCCTCTCTGTCCAAAAGATGTCTTACAAATAGAGCAGCTGAATGGTTTCTCTCCTGTGTGGATTCTCATGTGTTTCTTTAAATCTCCTCTCTGTCCAAAAGATTTCTTACATACTGAGCAGCCAAATGTTTTCTCTCCTGTGTGGATTCTCATGTGCCGATTTAAATTTCCTCTCTGTGTAAATGTTTTCTCACACAAAGAGCAGCCAAATGTATTCTCTCCTGCACTACGTATTGAATCACTGACAGGGTTTTGTTTATTTTTCTGAGACTTTGAACCTGGTTCTCTGGTCTCCTTCCAATCAGCACTGTCTTCAGTGTCAGGTTCAGAAGAGTCTCCAGGGTTGTCCTCAGTCTCTGGTTGTACATGTCTCTCTGGATCTGAGTTCCTGGCTGGTTCTGGTCCTCCAGAGTCCTCTCCATCAGCTTCTGTTTCCAGGTGTTCAGTTTGTCTTTGATGAAGCTGAGAGGACTGAGGTTTCTCTTCATCATCTTCACTCTTCACAGGGACAGGAGTGAATGTGAACTTGGTGATATCAGCCTCCTCCAGCCCTTGAAGCTGCTCTCCCTCATGACTGCTCCAGAGTTCCTCCTGTTCCTCTTTAATGTGTGGGGGGGGCTCTGGGTCCTCCTGGTCCAGACTGGAGCTCCACTCCTGCTGTTCAGGGGGAACCTCTTCTTTAACCACCACCAGCTGCTGGACGTCTGCAGGAAACACATTCAGAGAAAACTGTAGAGTATTAGAATTTAAAATCTAACCACGATTAACACTTCTTTAACTTTGCAGCCCTTATCCATTCCTTATTTTAAATGCTTTTCCAGATCGGTCGGCCGTTCACAGAGTGTGAGGCCTTAGCCTTATAGTTTGTGACCTGTCTGCAGAGTCGTTAGCTGAGAACTGGTGTTGGGGTTTCTCAGAGTAGTCGTTTAGCATCTCTCTCCGCCTCGCTAAACCTGTACTGATACAGGTGCATCTCAATAAATTAAATAACATGGAAAAGTGAGTTTATATCAGTAATTCAATTTATAAAGTTTAAATGTATATATCACAGATTCATCACACACAAAGTGAATTATTTTCCAGCGTTTATTTGTTTTGATCTTGATGATTAAATGAAAGCCAAAATCCAGCTTCTCAGAACATTTTAATAATACATAAGACCAATACAAAAACTGATTTTTTATTAATATAGAAATGCTGTCCTCCTGAAAATCATGTTAATGTGTATGCATTCAGTACTTGGTTGGACCTCCTTTAGCGTGAATAACTGCATCAATGCGGCACAAATCTCTCTATTTCAGCGTGATAAGCCGATGAACTGCTGCCTTTGTGCATTAACCTGTTTTAACCCTGAGCCTGTTTTTCAGGTCTCAGGCTCAAAAATGACATTCCCAGAACAAATGACTATATCTTCCCTTTTAAAAAGGGGTAAATTAATAATCCTTTTTCTCAAAGCAATGATAAACCTTTGAGTTGGATGTAGAAAAGTCACAATCAATATAGATTTTGTTTATTTTAAAGTAAATTCAGATTGAACATTGTAAAAAAATGTAAATGAGTTTAAAGAATGCTTAATCCTTCCTTTCTAGGTTTTTACAAAAGTCTCAGATCGTTAAACATTTTTGAGAATTGTTTAACTTTTCTCTTTCAGATTTTGAAAGGACATAATGATTGATAGTTTAAGGCGAGACACGGCAGGCAAAAACATCGTTTTTCAAGTACTGGTAAATTTTGAGATTTTGTGCTATTTTGATTCTATAACATGTTTTCCTTCAGGCTTTTGGAAGGAAAACGTACAAAATACACATTTAAGTGTTTATTTTACTATAGTTTGTCTATTTGCGTCTGTAGATTTCTCCTAAATTCACCAAAACTTAGCATTCTAACGTAACAAAGTACCGCGACCGCTGTGTGCACCATGTCAGAGGTATCGTTGGAAAGCTGTGTCTCTCCTGCACAATCTCATCGGATCCAAATATGGTCATTTCCTTTGTATCAGCAACCAATCGTGAAAGCACAAAGGGGTCTTAAACCAAGAAACGAAATCTCATTGGCTGGTGTGACGTCAATTTCTGACAACGTGATTCGTTCAGATGCGTCACGTGTTGTGCTAAAACACTTCCTGGTTAGCTTTCCGCTAGAAATTGAAATCTCAAAATGGCAAAAGAACAGCGAAAAAAACGTTCACAGAGAAGACAACAACAATTGTCACTTGCACGAAGCAAGTTTATACAAAAAACAAATGACCCCGGACATGAAATACCTTCACGGAGTGCGTCGATGCGCAAGCTGTCATCCTAAGAACAGGAGGGTTTAGCTAGCGCCTCACTGCAATCTTTAAAGGTCGTTTTCTCAAAATGAGTTTTTTCTCCTACTCTGAGTTCGAAATTTCAACTTCAGTAGCACGTACATACACCAAACCTTCCAGTTATATTCCTATCAATATTATGAAGGCTTTTACGGAAGGGTTTGTTCATATCTCATTCATAGCCTGAATTATACAACATTGTATACCTAAAAACATGGCGAAAATTGATATTTTAGGGCTGTTGACAGTAGGGGTCGACCGATAATCGGCCTGGCCGATTATCAGGGCCGATATTCCGCATTTGACCGATAATCGGTATCGGCCTTTTTTTTAAATCAAATTGCCGATAAAAGTTTGGCTCTGATGCGGCCGTTTCTCTGGCTGCAGTCACTACTCTGTGTACACAAGCAATGTCCCGCCCACAGCGCTATCTGATAGGCTATTACTGAAGTGTCAATCAACACTGAAGATTTTCTTAGCGGGAGCCAGCCAGAGAGGCGGGACCTTCTCAGATTACAGGCAGGTGCGAAGAACGCAGACAGAGGCAAGCGGCAGAGCCATACATGTGTTTCGAAGGTAAGTCAGTCAATAAACATCCCAATCCCCTATGCTGAAGTTGCAAAAACACCACGATCTTATGATCCAATTCTATCAGTTTCCCAGTTACACTGGGACTCGGGAAGTCAGTCAGAGTTGGGGGTGCGTCCAGCATCTCGCAGCGGAGTAACTGGTGCGGGAGGGGGCTGCGAGTGGAGCCTCGCAGTTTTTCAGGTTGATATGTGAAGCTCATTAGCTAGCCAACATGTATCTAGCAAATGTTTAGCAAAATATTAGAAGTGAGGCTACTAGACTAACGTTAGGTCTACTGTAATAGCCTCACTTTTAATATTTTGCAAAACAGCTAGCACTAGTGTTTTGCAGTTGCTAGCAGTTTATTGGCATTTTATGCTAGATAGACAGTCATTGTTTTGATAGAATAAATTAAGCATTATTGTTAGTTAAGCATGTAAGCCTGCAGCCCCACTTTTAACTCTCTGTCTCTCTCTAACTCATTGCAGATGGCTGCACTAAAGAAAAGGGCAACAAGTGCAGTATGGGAGTATTACACTCAAACAACACAGGGGAAGGCAGTCTGCAATACATGCAAAGTAGGTGTCAGCATGGGATCAACAAATGCAAAAGCGACAAATACGTCAAACCTGTGGTCCCATCTTAGGAATCATCACCCTGGTATCTATGGAACCGCACAGGGGAAACGTGAATCTGAATCTCAGCAGGGGACAATGACTCCAACTCAGCCTACAATGCATGCCATGCTTGAGAAACAAAAAAAGTGGCTAAGTTCTGATAACTGATCTATACTAATGGACAAACTAATTACAGAGATGATTGTCACTGACAACCAACCGTTCACACTGGTCTCTGATGTTGGTTTTAAGCGCCTCATGGCTGCAGCGGAACCACGATATGCGCTGAAAAATGAGAAGTATTACCGCACTGTAAAGCTGTATGATGTTCACCACAAGGTTGTAGAGAAGATAAAAGCCCTGAGAATGCTGGCCACTCACTCTCCTTCACTACAGACTGCTGGTCTGGATCAACCGAGTCTGATGAGCCTAACATGCCATTTTATTGACAATGAATGGACCAGACAGCAGGTTGTTTTGAATACAAAGGCGATGCATGGATCCCACACTGGGGAATATATCGGAGAGACATTCCTCGGCATGCTTGATAACTGGAAAATAAGCAAAGACCGTGTAGCACTTGTGCTTCGAGACAGTGGAGCAAATATGGTCAAGGGAATGAGGCTTGCTGAACTCTCAGACCTCAGCTGCACAGCGCACTCATTGCAGCTCGTGGTGAATGATGGTCTGTCAAGTCAAAGAGCCGTCATAGATGTCATTGCGATGTTAAAGAGGTGTGCCACCCATTTCCACCACTCAATTCTTGCCAAGCAGCGTTTGAGGGCCATTCAGAAGGACCTTGGCCTGCCAGAACACAACCTAGTCCAGGCTGTCCCAACCAGGTGGAACTCAACGCTCCACATGCTGCAAAGAGCACTGGAGCAAAAGCGTGCTCTTAGCATCTACGCCGGTGAACACGGAGGATTTGCCTGTCCTAATTCTCACCAGTGGGACATTGTGTCCAATGTGGTCGAAACTCTCATCCCAATAGAGGAAGTGACACTAGAGGTGAGCCATAACAACTCCTCAGCGTCCTGCATCATTCCATGTCTGACTGTACTGAAGATGCTATTTCAAGGTGAAGGGCCCTCGACACAAGGGATCAGAACACTCAGGCAAGTCATGAGGGAGAGCCTGGTCAAACGTTTCTCAAAAGTGGAAGAAACACAAATGGTGGTGCTGGCATGTCTCTTAGATCCTCGCTATAAAAATCATGTATTCTCCTCTGACGCTACACTGACCAAGGCCAAAGAATGGCTGAAAGAGGATGTGACCAGTCAAGAAGAGCCTGCTGCTGCTGCTGCAGATATCAGTGAGGAAGAGCAGGCTGCTGCAGAAGGGACCAATGAGGAAGACAGAAGAACCCCCAAAAGGCTACGGAGAGAACAGATATGTTGTCGTAGCCGTATTGATGACATTTTCAGTTCTCTTCTAGCATCCCACACTGCTGAGCCGTTGGCTGAATCCTGCCTCGAGGATGAGTTATATATGTACCTCAAGGAGCCAGTGATCGACAGGCGTAAGGGGGATCCACTCCAGTGGTGGAGGCAGAATGAAGGGCGCTTCAAGCTACTTGCCACACAAGCAAGAAAGTTTCTTTGCCCACCACCCTCGTCTGTTCCAAGTGAGCGGGTCTTCAGCGAAGTCTCTGCCATTTACGAGAAGAACAGAAGCCGTCTCACTGGAGAGCATGCTGAGCAACTCTGCTTTCTGCACCATAATCTGGTGCTGCTGAATTGGGAATACTAAACTAAATTTTCAGAAGTTCAGAACAAGTTTTAGTAGTTTTTTTATTTTAACCTCATTTACTTTAATGTAATTAAAGATGTTTAAAAGTTCAATAAACATAATATATGCTTAAATGGATTTCAAATAAGTTGTGTTGGAGTTTGTGTTATTCTACATTTTGACACCAAGATTTTCTGATTTTACTGCAAATGTATATCGGTTCCAAATATCGGTTATCGGTCTCCTTGATTACTAATAATCGGTATCGGTATCGGCCTTGAAAAAGCAATATCGGTCGATCCCTAGTTGACAGTATTTTCTGATTTATGGAGATATCCAATATCCCTTCTGTAAAAGCCTTAGATACTAATATAACTACAAAATGAAACAAGAATTTTGAACCTGGCTTTATGCAAAGTTCAGATTTCAATTCCTGAAATGTGTTAAAATACGTGCATATTTAATGAGATCATGGATAATT